CCGCCATCGCCTCCGCCATCGCCCCTGCCTCCTCCCACCTTCCCGCCTCCCCCCACCTCCGCCGCCGCCTCAGCCATCACCCCCGCTCCGCCTCCGCTCCGCTCCCCCCGCCTCCGCTCCGCTCCCCCTGCCACCGCTCCGCTCCCCCTGCCACCGCTCCGCCATCGCCTCCGCCATCGCCTTTTACCCGCGTCCTCCCGCCTTCCCGCCTCCCCCCGCCTCCGCTGCGTTCCGCTCCGTTCCCTCCACCTCCACCTCTGCCATCGCCTCCGCCTCCGCTCCCGCCATCGCCTCCGTTCCCTCCACCTCCGCTTCCGCCATCGCCTCCGCCTCCGCCTCCGCTCCGCCTTCCCGCCTCCACCCCCGCCTCAGCCATCGCCCCCGTTCCGCCTCCGCTCCGCTCCTCCCGCCTCCATTTCGCTCCCCCGCCTCACCCCGCCTCCGCTCCGCTCCGCTCCCTCCGCCTCCGCTCCCACCTCAACCATCGCCCCCGCTCGACCTCCGCTCCCACCTCAACCCCCTCCACTCCCCCTCCTCCTGTTCTTCTTCTTTCTTCGTCTTCGTGTTCGTGTTCGTCTTCGTCTTCTTCTTCTCTCTTAATTATTTCTCTTCTTCTTCTTCTCTCTTATTTCTTTCTCTTCTTCTTATTCTCTCTTATTTCTTTCTCTTGTTCTTCTTGTTCTTCTTCTTCTTTCTCTTTCTAGAAAAATGGTCAATTAACCCGACTAAGTTGCTAAGAAAAGCTGAGTATTTTTTTGACAAAAGTTAGGCAGCTGACTATCGATTTGTTCTGTGATTGTTTTTGTTGTGCATCAACATTTCTTCTTTCTTGTTCTTGTTGTTCTTCTTCTTGTACAATCTTCCTTTGCAGCAAGTGTGCACTCCCAAAACTGTTATAGGCCTATAACAAGTCTGTGCTCCCAAAATTGTCGCAGGCCTAAAAGCACCTTTGCACAGGCAAATCTGTCCGCACCTGCAACTCAAAGTCGACGCACACGGACGCACGCAGACACACACAGACGCACATAAACACGTGCAGGGACGCACACTCAGTACAGACCTCTGAGCACCTCTGTCCGTACTAAGCACTCTCGCGCATTTCTGTTTGTGTGCAGTCCGTTCGCTACGATGAAGTCAACCTAAGGTGCGAGGGGAATGACTAAGGCGAGAAGCTCCGGGCAAGCCCGGACAGTATCTTCTCGGGGGCAGCCAGCGTGCTCAGGAGGGGTTGTGCAACAGAGACAACCACGACAGTCTGACGTCTTTCCAGTTGCAGCGGGAGAGGATGATACTCCCCACTGCGGAGAAGGAGACGATGTGGAAGTTTCCGAAGACGAAGGGGAGTACGGTGAAGAAGGTGAAGGAGAGGAAGAGGCAGGAAATGAAGAGGAAGAAGAAGAGGAAGACGGAGAGGCAGGAGAAGAAGGAGCAGAAGACGAAGGACAAGCTGACGAAGAAGAAGAAGGAGAGGACGAGGAAGGAGGAGAAGAAGAACCAATGGAGGAGGAGGGTTGTTGGAAGAGAGAGTTCCTCGAGTCGCGGCCTGTTCGCGTTGACTTCAAGTTGTTCTTCTGGGCCGTGTACATCACAACTGGTCTTGCCTATCTTCACGTGAAGACCAGCGACAGCGGTATATATTCAGAAATTGGCGAAATCTTATTTGCGACCCACGTCACAGAGAAGTATCTGATGGCCGAATTGTGGGTCGTCATAAAAAAAAAGGTTGTCAAATGTCTTCTGAAGGGAGACAAGCTAATGCCCATGAAGATGCCATTCCAGAACAGAAAGCTAGCAGCATTAAACAAGATTGGCTGCAAGGTAACTGCATTCATCTTTGCCAACATTTCCATTGCATGTCTCCCTGATCTTCAAGTCAATGACCTAGATGTTTCTCGTCGCAGTTGCGGGTCTCTCCGTCGCAGTTGCGGGTCTCTCTTTTGAACTTGTTGTGGGCACCATTGCTCTTTTGAACTTGTTGCGGGTCTCTCTTACATGCCTTTAATTTCGAAAGCTTTCAAAAGTTTTGTCGACGCCACTGGATCTTATAGGCCTATAACTTCGGAAGTGTTTTCGACGTCACTGGATCTTATAGGCTCTCTCAGCACGTCACCGGATGTTGTAGGCCCTTAACGTCGAAAGCGTTTTCGACGCCACCGGATGTTATAGGCCTATAACTCCCGACACGTTACAGACCATCGCTGGCCGTAAACTGCCGCTGCAGATCTACCGTTGCTCTTTGTGTGTTCCATTCTTGAAGACTTAGAGGCCTTTCACTTACTCTGACACGCTGCGTAACCGTTGAATGCCTTCGCGTGCTGTGCAACCATTTGTGGAAGGACTGTCTGCTTTTCTGCTGCCAAATTTGGACGAGAAACTTCTTCCTTTTCGATGCCCAGAGCAAGAAGCAGCAACTCAGACTCCGACGACCACGACGACCACGAAGACCGCGAAGGGTGCGAAGACGCAGTGCCGCAAAGATGTGATTTCTCCTCAAACCATTGTGGAGTCTTCTGGTGGTTTGGAAAGGGGATCGGGCACAAAGAAGGCCCCAAAGTGGAAAAAGATGGCGTCGGGTCCGGGTAAGGGGAAGGCGGGCGAAGAGGGACTCCAGGTTCCCCAAGGTTTTGTGCCGACCGAGCGTGCGAAAGATTTGACAAAGACTTGGGAGGAGCTGAAGAGTTTGAAGGAGAAGAAACTCTCGCACGAGTTCTTCTATCTTCCAATGAGCTGTTTGAAGAGGCCGCCCCTCGTAAATGGGAAAAGACCGCTAGAGGTGCGAGAGCTAGACGAGGATCATGTGCAGTCCATAATGGACTCCATGCTGAAACATCCAACTGGGGATCATCTTCCCTTCGTCGGCCTCATGGACCCTGGACAAGCCAGTCGGAAAGAAGAGGTGGATCTGGCGACGCTGAGAAATGACCACTACGACATTTTTGTCCTTGGTGGCAACCACAGTCGGGAGGCTAGGGAACGGTTGTCTTGCATGAACCCCGACAACGACGACTACAAGTGCAATGTCTGCTACGTTTACGTTGGCCTCACGGTCGACGAGGCGAGGCAGGTTGCCCACATGCACAACCTCGTCGCCGGCTACCACCGGGACTACAGCTTCATCGAGAAGCTAAGGTGTTGGCGACAAGTCTTTGAGCGCATGGGGTCCGTCAAGTCGGCATAAGTTTAACTCGCTTGCCTGAAAGAAGCTATGATTCCGAACGCGGTGAAGAAATTGGGAGCCCAAGACCTGTTGCTGCAGTGTGCTTTCAAGCCCAAAGAAATTTGGGACCTCATGTGCAAGATAATGAACATGTGGTAGAAGGGTGGGGTCAAAGGCCAGAAACTAAAGACGGCAGTGAAGAGCATCCTCAAATCGGATCAGGATTTGGAATCGAGCGAGTCGGAGGGCGGAAAGAAAAGCCAGCGTGGGAAGAGGCTTGAAAGGGCAGCTGCGAAGGAGCAAGAGATAGCGCTTTTGCACCCTCGGGTGCAAATGCAGGGTAACAAAGTCCCCATGGTCGCCGACGACTTGCCCTCGCAACATTGGATAGCCATGGGAAGTATGGCTCCAGAGCACGCCGTCCCTATCCTCCTTGAGGTCATTGCGAAGCAGATCTCACTCAAGGAGATGGAGAAGAAGTTCCAGCTTGTCAAACAAGTCGCGTACGTCCGCATGGCCTTCGCAGTGGGGGTGGGTTGTGCTGACTTCAAGGAGGCCGAGAAACAGTATCCTCTCCACACGAAGAAAGACATGTTGGAGAAGTTCGCCGGTGGCGTCAGGAGGGGTCAGAAGAGTATCCCCGCACTAGATGGCCATATTAAAAGGGCTTTGGACTGGAAGAGTAAGGAGAGGAGACTGCAGGCAAAGGAGGCTCTTCACGCGTTCCGTTCGGCACCTCTCACGGAGCCCTTCGTCGACTGGACGGAGGTGAAACATGAGAACGACGCGGCGGAAGTAAAGATTATCAACGGCGACATGCGGCTGCTGTCAAAGCTGCAGACGGAGAAGCTGCCAATTTCTCTGACGATTTTTAACTTCCCTTACGGCTTCGCCCACGAGGGACATGCGTCTGATCATGAGCCGTTTTCGAAGTCGGACGTTCTGGAGGTTCTTCAGAATCTGAAGGATGTGTCTAGTGCCCCCTTTTGGACAGTTGCGGGATTCTGTTCAGTGGACATGCTTCCTTCCATTCGCTCCGCGTTTAGAGAAGTATGCAATGCAGGGCAGGAGCTTTTGACGTGGTGCAAGCCCAATGTGACGAATCCCGGTGGGCCTCGGCTTGTGAGTGCGACGGAATACTGTGTGTTGGCCTACTACAGCCAGACTGGACAGCGCGAGATGGCGCATTACAACTTCGATCCTACGGATCCGCGTCACAACTTCCAGCTCTTTAATGATGTGACGCAGAAGTACCAGCACCCTGGCGGCGGTGTCCTCTGCCCGTACCAGAAGCCGTACAGTTTATACTCCTGGCTTGTGAACAAATTTTCTCCTGCAGGGGCCTGCATTCTAGACGGTTTCTCCGGCTCCGGCACTGGCGCCATTGCGTGCGTCAAGGCCAATTGGAATTGCCTCGTGGTGGAGATAAACACAAAGTGCACGAAAGGCATTGCGACGAGGCTTCTGACAGACATCGACGGCACACTCGCTCGTGAAACGCCGAAGAGTAAACAGAAGGCATCGCAGGGCAGCCCGACCTCGAAGCTGTCTGGGGACGCGGAATCTGCCGGTATTGAGCTCGTGGCCGACGGGAACACGGGCACCGCTGCAGGAGTGGCGCCGCTCGTCGGGCAGGGCGCACCGGTAATTGCCGGGCCGTCTTGTGTGCAGAAGACTGTTTCTGGGCCATTTTCTGAACCTGCTTCCGGGCCATCTGCTGAGCCTGCTGAACATGCTGCCGGGCAGGCTGGTGAGCGGCCAGATGTTGCCAACGAGCCTGCTCCCGTGCCTGTTCCTAAGGCTGTTCCCGGTGCTGGACCTGAGGCTGAGACGCAACCTGTGGTTACGACTACTCCCGCTTCTACAGACTTTCAGCAGACTATCCTGAGCCTCGCCTTGAGCCAGGATTCGGACAGAACAACGGTTGGCGGCAGGAGGGGGCGCAAACGAAAGGGCGGTGGCGAAGAGGTATCGAGTCCACCGGGGGGGGTAACGAAGGCCAACACTCGCTCACGAACTGCGAAGTGAGTGCGGTTGCAGCCCTGTGCCCACCTTGGCTGAGGGGACAGCGTTTCATTTACATATAGCCCTATATGACAATGTGTGGACACGCACTCGCCATATAGGCCTATATCACATGCGTTGCCTCGAACCTCTATGCCACGTGTGCTGTGGACCACAGAAACGTCTGCGATGATGAAAAGGGATCCAGGAGCTGCCCTTTGTTGATGTCGACTGACGATTTGCTTAGTACATTCCGGTCAAAGAGCCGAAGAAGGATCGACGACGATCCCTGTAGCAAGGATTGCGCCTCTCGCGTTCGGTGCGAGAAGAGAAACTAAGCTCTTTCGTCGGCAAGTCTCCTGTTGTCATCAGATGATGATTTGCTTGGTGCATTCCGGTCAAAGGACCGAAGAAGGATCGACAACGATCCATGTGGCAAGGACGGCGCCTCTCGCGTTTGGTGCGAAAGGAGAAACCAAGCTTTATCTTGTTCGCATCGCGGTTCCAAAATGAGTCTTCTTGTGGTTCGCACTACTTTGCCTGGATGTCTCGCTCGGGACTGGTCGTGGTTACCTTGCCGTTGGAGCAGTGTGGTCTGGAACACGGCTTCGTTTTCTGTGGTACTGTTATTGCGTACAGTAGGCTGCCTCTTTAGTCTGGTTTAGTAGGTCATCAGTTTCGAGGGTGTCGTTGTTGTTGGGAACCATGCGTCCCGTTCAGGGTGTGGTCGGAAATTTAGACCGCAGCAGGTCAGCAGTTTTGAGAGTGCCAGAGTTGCCAGGAAGCATGAGTTCCACTCGACGTAGTTCTGACCCATGTGTCGTAATTTTGGGGGACAGGGCGTAGATTAGTTCGCTTTTAGAGTTAGTTGGTGGGCTGTTTTTGGTTAGTTTGTTTGTCCAACTTTGATAACTATCTCATTTTCGTTTGCAAACAACTTCTTGTTCAATTGCATTTGCCTCCTGGATTGTCTACGGCTCTCTCTCGCCTGTGCAGCTCTGTCTGTTTGTGTCCCTTTTGCTGCGCACTTCAGTGTGTCGCAACAACAGAAAAGAAGCTCTTCTCGGATTGCTGTTGTCGAAATTCAGACTTGAAGTCAATTCGTGTCACAGGTCTTCAGTTAAGCAGGCTGTCAAGACATATAGCCCTATACCACTGAAGGGCCTACCTGTTGTTATGTGTGATTGGGTTTCTCTGTCTGCATGTGCGGAGTCCAAGGGGCACTGGGCTGGAGGAACTCGTGCCCCAGGACACTAGCCCATCCGGCCTCCCGCATGGGACACACACACATACACACACACACACACATACAAACCACCATGCACAATCAGTTTTGTGTCTGTTAGTCTTTCTTCTGTGTCTGTCCTCTCTCTAATTTTGTCTTTCATTTTGTATGCCCAACTGAGATCCCTCAAGCAGTGCCCATCAGTCGGCGGTTCCTTGTTTGGATGTCTGTGTTGCCTGTGGGTGAAGAACGGATGCTATTCGGAGTACCTCCCTGGCTCAGTGGGTGGTGGGAACCAACAGCCTGCGGGGTTCAATCGCGATGTGAGTAGGTCATTTGCTCTGTGTTGGATGTGCGGACTGCCTTGTCTGCACTCTGTCGGTGCCTTGCTGCATGTCCCGCTGACTTCAACGTGTGGTTGTTTGCAGGGTGATGTGTTCACTGAGTACTGTGGCCTTGTCGTTGGATGTCTGGACTGCGCATCTGCGCTCTCTCTCTCTCTCTCTCTCTCTCTCTCTCTCTCTCTCTCTCTCTCTCTCTCTCTCTCTCTCTCTCTCTCTCTCTCTCTCTCTCTCCCACACAGAAACACACACACACACACACACACAATCAGTTTTGTGTCTGTCAGTATTTCTTCTGTTGTGTCCTCCCTCTGATTTTGCCTAGTCTCTGAGGATCCTACACAGACATATGTTTTGTGTGCCCAATTGACCGCCCTCAAGTACTGCCAAAAAGTCGGTAGTGCCTTGTTCAGAGTGCCAACTGCACTCTTGGGGGGTCCGCTCGGTTCGGGGTGTCTGTGTTGCCTGTAGGTGTTGACGGGAGAATTAATGAATGATAAAATTGATATTGCGTGTGTTACTATCACATAAAATAGACATCTTGAGTTATTAATTTGAAAAGTACTACAAGAAAACAAATTGGTTAGTACTCTCAGGGATAATAGGGACCCATCAGATTGACTCCCTGGCTCAGTGGCTGGTGGGAACCAACAACCTGCAAGGTTCAATCGTGATGTGAGTAGGTCATGTGCTGCTTTGCTCCGTGTTGGATGTGTGGATTGCCTTGTCTGCGCTCTGTCGGTGCCTTGCTGCCTGTACCGCTGGCTTCGCATGTGGCTGTTTGCAGGGTGATGTGTTTGCAGGGTGATGTGTTTGCTGAGTTGTGTGGCCGTGTTGTTGAATGTGTGGACTGCGTCGTCTGCGCTCTGCCCGTGCCTTGCTGCTTGACCCGCTGGCTTCGCATGTGGGTCTTTGCACGGTGATGTGTTCGCTCAGTACTATGGCCGTGTTGTTGGACGTGTGGACTGCGTCGTCTGCGCTCCGCCGATGCCTTGCTGCCTGTCCCGCTGGCCCACTTGCCCTGTCGTCCTTTGCGGTGTGGTTGCCCTTCTTCTGATGTCTTGTGCTTCACTACACGGCTGCCGTGCTGCCTGTTCTACGTGCCATGTAGTTCCGTGCAGTCGTTTCTAGCGTTGTGCAGTCATGTTGCCTCACGCAGTCCGTCAACCGTTCCTAATGGATTCTAGCTTAAAGGGCTGTAACTTCAAAAATGCTTTAGAGAGTCCTCTTCTTATGTCTTGTGCTTCACTACACGGCTGCCGTGCTGCCTGTCCTGCGTGCCATGTAGTTCCGTGCAATCGTTTCTAGCGTTGTGCAGTCGTGTTGCCTCACGCAGTCCGCCAAATGTTCCTAATGGATTCTGGCTTATAGGGCTATAACTCCAAAAATGCTTTAGAAAACAGGTGCTGCATGGCTGTCGTCAGCTCGTGTTGTGAGATGTTGGGTTAAGTCCTTTAACGAGCGCAACCCGCGGTTGCTGGGCTGCTGTCCCGCTCGCCCTGTCGTCCTTTGCGGTGTGGTTGCCCTTCTTCTGACGTCTTGTGCTTCACTACACGGCTGCCGCGCTGCCTGTCCTGCGTGCCATGTAGTTCCGTGCAGTCGTTTCTAGCGTTCTGCAGTCGTATTGCCTCACGCAGTCCGTCAAACGTTCCTAATGGATTCTGGCTTACAGGGCTAAAACTTCAAAAATGCTTTAGAATATAGGTGTTGCATGGCTGTCGTCAGCTCGTGTCGTGAGATGTTGGGTTAAGTCCTGTAACGAGCGCAACCCGCGGTTGCTGGGCTGCTGGCCCGCTCGCCCTGTCGTCCTTTGCGGTGTGGTTGCCCTTCTTCTGACGTCTTGTGCTTCACTACACGGCTGTCGTGCTGCCTGTATTGCGTGCCATGCAGTTCCATGCAGTCGTTTCTAGCGCTTTGCAGTCGTGTTGCCTCACGGAGTCCGTCAAACGTTCCCAATGGATTCTGGCTTATAGGGCTATAACTTCAAAAATGCTTTAGAATACAGGTGTTGTATGGCTGTCGCCAGATCGTGTCGTGAGATGTTGGGCTAAGTCCTAAAACGAGCGCAACCCGCGGTTGCTGGGCTGCTGGCCCGCTCACCCTGTCGTCCTTTGCGGTGTTGTTGCCCTTCTTCTGATGTCTTGTGCTTCACTACACGGCTGTCGTGCTGCCTGTCCTGCGTGCCATGTAGTTCCGTGCAGTCGTTTCTAGCGTTGTGCAGTCTTGTTGCCTCACGCAGTCCGTCAAAAGTTCCTAATGGATTCTGGCTTCTAGGGCTAAAAATTCAAAAATGCTTTAGAGAGTCCACAACATCTTCAAAATGGCTAAATCCTTGTAAATAATTTATGTCATTCAAAATAAAAGCGCCGCCATACATGAGGAATTTACACGACCCACCGACATTGATAAACACACACGAAGGATTGATTGACTGGTCGATCGGTTGGATGCCATTCAACAATCATTCAATCATGTCTTCTACAGATAAACATCGACTGGCTGGTGAGCGGGTGCACGCAATCCCTCCTCCGACTGAATTGATTGATCGATTGGTTAAATGACTTTTTTATTCCCCGCGCCAACACCGGTCTGCGGATCGATCTACTTGATACATTGACCAATCGATCGATTGAATGGTTGAATGGTTGGATGATTAACTGATTGAAGAGAACCGACATCTTTTTGTTTTTTCGTTCTAAGGTCGCCCGTGCTCGGTCGTGGAACTGATCCTTTGATCGATCCTTGAATCGATGAATCAATCGATCAAAAGATCCAACAACCAATCAACCAATCTATCATTCCGACAAACTGTGATCGGTTATTTGGCTGGTTGCTCGATCGAATCATTGGTCGTCCGTGTTCGGTGAAACATTAGGTCGACGAATGGATCGATCACTCGAACATTCGATCAAACAATCGTCCGTGCTCGGTCAATTAACCGATCCTGTGACCAATTTAATAATTGAATGATCGTTTCATTGATCGATTCCTTGGTCGCTCGTGCTCGATACATCAATCAATCAATGAACTGTCGGATGGATCAATCGAACAAACAAGCAGTTAGCCAAACAATCAGTCTATCAACGAGTCAATCATTTCTTTGTACTGCGATCAGTTTGCTAATTGATTGATCGATTGATTCAAAGGTCCAATGGTTGATTGATCACAGTCGCTGGCAGCTAACCCTAGAGAACGGAACATTAAGTCCAAAGCTCAAAAAATGAATTAAAGGATCTGAAAAACTGAAAATAGAAAACGAATTCGCGCCGCTCTCGAAGGTTGAGCGCACGTGATTGTCGCAATCAGTCGACCTAACAATCCAAATATGAATTTAATTTGAAATTAAACAACGGAACCTCACAACACTTAAACACTCACACACACACACTCATCCATTTTAGTGTGATTCCGAACATGAGAACTGATTTAAACACACACACACACAAGCACTCACACACCCGTATCCTTTTTGAGTGTGTTCCGAACATGAGAACTAATTCAAAGACACACACACAC